AATAACTGATTTCCAAATTTTATTATTGTCCAACAAATTAAAATAAGCCAACAAACATGTGTTAAAATAACAATAAAAAATAAAAAAAACCTTATCAGAAATAAAACTTATTTACATTGTAAATACTTCTTTTTCTATGTGCTGTGCTCATTCAAGACGTTGACGGCTATTGCTCTCCACAACTTCCTATCCTTTGCAGATCTTAGGAATGTTTGCCTTTTTACTATCCCTCCCTTTTTTATTTTTTTATTTATTTGTTTATGCCGCCGTAACTTAGTTTTCCTGCGTCTTTTCTATAAATACTTTCATGGTAATTGTTCTGATGATCTTTCCTCTATGGTACCTAGACTTTATGAATTTAAGCGCGGTACTAGATTGGCGGCAAGGTCTCTTCATTTTATACTAGAAACGGATAGATTTAGTCGTAAGTTCTATGTTAACAGTTTCTTCTCTCGTATTTCTTGCTTGTGGAACTCACGTACTGCTTCTTGCTTTCCAGTCAACTATGACCTTCAAAATTTTAAATGCAATGTCTATCGTTATCTTCTGTTTTGTTATTTTTTTGTTATTCACATTTTTTTCTCATGTTCAATAGCACCCAGTAACCCCACCTTCGCCCTAGTGACTTCATTGCTTTGCTTGGGGTGAAATTATTTTAAAAATCCTGTTCTGTCATACATTTACACAAGCTCGTCATGTAGATACAAGTTTTTTAGTTGAGCTAAAGAGAGATAACTGAGACATCCAGAAGAGGCATGGCACGTGGAACTAGAACAATCTACCCCGGTGGGCGAAATAAAAGGTCCAGTTCGAAATTCCAATCACCTGAAAAAAGCCAAAGCGTACAACGACCGAAACATAGTGTATATGTCAATAATGATGAGAACAACAGTCTGAACAGTGTAAATAATATAGATAAACGCACCTCTTTTTGCTTCAAATCTCCTCGTCATCTGTGAGGAAATCGTCAGAGACACACACTTAGTCATTTAGTAGGATCAATATTACCTAGCAGTTCAACAATCTTTAGGTTGTTTCTAAAGAAATTTTCGTCTTTTTTAAGCTTTTAGCTTTCAAAAGGCATCTTTTGCTACTCCATCATGCCTTCAGATTTCTGTGTCACATTTTCCGTTATCTGTTAAAACAGTTCCTAAATATTTGAACTCCTGGACTTGTTTGATTTTGACATCTTTAATTCGTAGTTTGCATCTGTGCTGTTATTATTGCTGTCAAACCATAAGTTCTGTCTTCTTACAATTGATTTGTGGAGTGAAGACGGAAATAAATAGCAAGACAATCAAACACCAAATGACAACAAATAGTTTCTGAGTCGAAGGATTCGCGCATCCCTCCGGTTAATAAATTAATCCTTTGAAAATAAATATTTAACATTTTTCAACCAATGGGTTGCGTTTCCGCCAACAATAAAAAGCATGTTTTGAATCCCTTGATAAGCTCATTCACCAGACTAGTCAATCCAGTAAGGAGAAGGATAGACATCATACTGCAACAGATTCACGACACCGCGGCTTAAAAAGATCCTCTTACTCATTCGCCCGTCTTCCTCACCAAGCTACGTGACATTTACACTCTTCCTCACCATGCTACATGACACTTACACTCTTCGTTATCAAGCTACGTGACACTTACACTCTTCCTTATCAAGCTATGTGACACTTACATTCTTCCTCCCCAAGATACGTGACACTTACACTCTTCCTAGCCAAGCTACGTGACATTTACACTCTTCCTCACTTTTTACCTTGCCTCTTTTTTCTCACAAAATACACGTGAAGAAATCACATTTTTTTTCATCTTAACAAGCAACTACAAACAAGGAACTTTAACACTGATACACGCTAAGATAAATTTAGTTGTAAAAATACGAAAATAATAATATTTTATATTTAAACACCTTTCTCGCCTTTTTCTTTGTTGTGAGTTGATTCAAATCCGCAAAAGAAACATAGTCATTTGTTACCGTTTTCCTTCATCGCCTTGTCTAGGGGTCACTGCAGTAGTCTTTCTGCACCTGCTATCAGCATGAAGTCTTTTCCATACCATGTGTCTTTAAGACTTTGCCCACCTTTAATAAATCCTGGTAGGACTTGTAGTTCTCTTAGGGGTGCCTCGCTGTAAAAGTTGAATAAATCCGATGGGAGGAAACAATCTTGCCCTTCTCTATTTCTATCAATATGCCTCACCAAAATTCACTCTTAATAAAAAAAAATGTAAAAATATAGGAATTTGCATTTACTTACTCTTCTCTTATTTTTATCTGTTTTTTATCTTTTATATTTCTCTTCTTTTATTATTTTGTACTTTTCATCGTTCTTAATTCCTTTTGCTATCAGTATTTCATACTTTATTTTTTATTCCTTACTTCAGATTGCTTTCATTGTAACTTTTAAATTTTCTCTTTTATTATTTTACTCCTTTTTTGCATTCCGTACTTTCTTTGTTTTATTTCTTAGTCCTAAAACGTCTACGCGGCCTTGTGGATGATGAAATATTTTTAACACTACAACCCCTTCTTCCCTCAGATAAAACGCCAAAAGCCTCTCGCTTGTCTATTGCTATTTCCATGGCAAATGTTCTGACGTGTTACATTCCTTAGTTCCAGGCCTTCACATTCAGACCTTCACAGCTTTGACCCACTATACCACGTACAATGTGACGAACTATATGTGTATTCCATTGGAAGAAAGGACATGTTTTTTCCCATTACTGCTTCTTTGCGAGATTATGCTTTCCCGACCACTACAATCTAAATCTCTTCAAGTCTAGTGTTAACCGTTATCTTTCCTACATATCCTCATAAACTTCTCTTCTTATCTCTTACGCTTAACTCACATACAACCATCTCTTCAGTAAACCTCTATCTTGTATTTGAGGAACATTAGTAAGAGGCAAATCAACTTTGGATTGTTTTGTTTTTTTGTAACTTTTAAATTCTCTTTTGTGTTATTACTTTATTTTACATCATGTCAGATTAGATTATGCAATTTAATGTTATCTATAAAATACAGAATGCTGTGGCGAGCTATAATCGCTCACGTTCTGAATAGAAACAGTGTTTTCACAATAAAATTAGTATTAAAAAACTAATGTTGATAAAATCTTCACGATATACATATATTTGTATAAACAATAGGTCATATCAGATTCAGTAGAAAAATCTTATTAAAAATACTGAGTTTGTTTAGCGGGAATCTTAAGTTTTATTATGCAAACAAACTATGTGAAACATACAATTTTATATGCAAATATTTCCTAAATATATACTCTAGAGAAATATATGTTTGTTCAAAATTTCATCTCGGCGACGTGTCCGTTCGAGATATAAGCGATCATAGCTCAACACAATATTCTATGCCATATACATGAATAAATTATTTTATCATTTGATGCTCCTTCAGGTGATATTTTCCGTCATCACTCACTTTGTTTTGTTAACCATTTATCTGTTGCGAACTTGCAACTGTTTTTATGGCTCCCAAAAGATCTTTACTTGAATTTTGTTTTCCATTCTCTTTTAAGCATAGTTCACAAGATTTGGATTTGGATTAATAATTGGTGGTTCTATGGGTCATTCTATTCATTTCGTGTCTTTTGAATCTTTTTGATAATGTGGGCAATGTTTATGCATAGACAATTCTCATGTATGAAAGCTTCTTGGTTGTGCCTTGTACCTCCCAATATGACCTTGTCTAATACATTACAATAATTATTTGCATTAATTTGGAACCATCATCTATTTTATGGGACTTAGAATTTTACTGCGTACACTACTAGTCTAAAGCATTGCTGACTATTTTATGATTGCTCAACATTTTGCCTAGCCATTAAATCCATACAATGAACTTCTGCATTCACCGTTAATAATTACTTTTAAAAATCAGTATTCATCTTTTTCTTGATCTATCTTAGACATTCTTTTTTGTGATGTTTACTTAAAGGTGATAGTTTGGTTCTTTTCATGCTTTTAACCAATACTCTCAATATTCAAGAGTGGCCCTTGGGCATTGTATTGAGTGAACTAAACAATATATATATATATATATATATGTATATATATATATATATAGATAGATAGATAGATAGATAGATAGATAGATATATCCTCGGAGGGACTTTATCAAGGAAAAAGTGTTACCTTGATAAAGTCCCTCAGAGGACGAAACGGATAGGTTAAATAATTTTTCCTTTTGTTTTGTTTTTTTTTTACCAGTTCTTCAACCAAAAATTTTTTTTAGAACAGTTCTTCAACCAAAAATTGCTCTTAGTAGCGCCTCAGATTGAGGAATCGGAGAGCCGAGTTCGAATTTCAGTCAAATCCATTACATTCACCTATGTGCTAATACCCTTGGGAAAGGTATGAATCCTCTTCTTCTCCCCACAGCTATTGGTAAATAGCAGGACAGACCGGGTTCTATAGCCTTGAATGGCAACTGGTCTACCACAGAAAGAAATGACAACCTACTACGGGAAAAAATCTGCCTCGTCAGTCATGTATCAAAAGATACATGATCGCCTAAGCGTGTATTACGCATGGCACATAACTGACTGATAGTAAGTTGTTCATCAATTGATCGGATTTTTTTTTTATTCAGTTCTTTCCTTTTTACCTCCCTGTAGGTTACCCGTATCCATAGACACCTGATGAAACTCCAGAGGATAGGCCGGCAGAAACCTTGTTATAGCAACAAAGATGAGAACAATGGTGCGAATAGTGCAAATAATTAATTCTTCCTTGTATCTCTTTTAGTGATTCTTGGCTTCTTATTTTTAATTTTGCTACTTAGTAATATTTTTTCTCATTTTTCCTCCGGTTTGCCGCCATTTTTTATTTATTTATCTACTCATTTTCTTTTTCTTTTTTTTTCTTTTTTTTTTTCTTTTTTAATGTGGGACTTTGTTTTGGATTTATTTTTTTCTTCCTTAGTAATTCCTCCGCTAAAATAAACTTACAAATACATCTAACTCTCATATTTTAATCTATGTCTGTCTGTTTCCTTTCCTTTTCAATTACTCGTTCCCTTCCCGTCTTTTTCCAAAGCCCTACCTTGTCTTCGTCGCTCTACAAAAAAAATGACTGTCCTTTACATTTTTCTATTTATTACTATTTGTTTTACGCTCTAATCAGTTTCTTTTCTCATATTTCTGCCTGTCTTAAAAAAAAAAAAACTCCCCTGTTTATTCTTATTTCTTTCCGCAACTTTTTTCACTCTCTCGCAACACACAGTTCGCCGTATCTCCTAGCAGACCTGCAAAAAAATATTTGTGCTCGCTTCGATAAGACAAACGGTCCAAATTTATTGACATCACTGGTTGCCTCCCTAAATCAAATGCTGCGCAAGATTTATGATAATCATGTTGGATTACGAACAGTGGATTACCTTAAGATGAAAAGTTAATCATAGGAAGAAAAAAAAATCTGAAGACATTATTTTCTCAAGTCTCATCTGCTTTCTCATTTAAAACTGAGAACGTTAACCACTTTCTGTACTTGATTTTCTTCCACTCTTGGAAATGATTTATTCCCTAAATGTATTCCCTTTGTCTTACTTTTTTCTGTTATTTTTAAACAAAGGTTCTTATTTTCTTTAGTTCTATTTTTTCTTTTGTCTTGATATTTACTGCGCTCAACTTAGCACGACACAAGATCAAATAGAGGCAATGGGAAACAGAGACTTATGTTGTGACAATCTCCCAAGTATGAAGTTAGCTGCCTGTGTATGTAAATTCTGACTTTGAACACACGATCAAACAACGACAGCTAACGCCATAATAAGCAATAAGAATTGAACTCACGACACTTCTGCTAAAATTCCTGTTATCTGTTTTTGTTTCTTTCTTTCGTTCCGTTTTCTTTTTCTCTCTCTTTTTTTCTTAGTTATTTTTTTTTTTTCATTCGTTAGTTTTATAATTTTTGACTATTATTTTATACTCTTTTTCATTTATAGTTTTCACTCATTCAGTCTTTTGTGCTTTCTTATTCTTCATCATCTTTACCTTTTCCTTTTTTTATTCATTATTTTTATAATTTTTAGACACTATTTTTGTTTTTTGTTATTTTCCTTTACAGTTTTCTACCATCCATTCATCTTTGATTTCTTCTTCTTCTTCTCCTTCTTCTTCTTCTCGTTTTCTGTTTCTTCTTCTTCTTCTTCTTCTTCTCGTTTTCTGTTTCTTTTTGTCTTTATCTACATTTTTAAACCTCTTTTTCTTTTTCGTTCTACTTCTCTTATTTTTCATTTTCTTCTCTTTCTCTCTTTTTTTATCTAGTCTCTTGATTTTCTTTCATTTTTTCCCTCGTTTAACACGTTTTTTGTTTACTGGCAAATACTTTTTCTTCTTTTTTAATAACATCATTTCGTTCTTTCTTTTTTACATCCCTCTTCTACATCATAATTTTCTTTTCCTTTTCTCTTTTTTTTATTTTTTATTTCTTCACATCGATTAACGCATGAAGATCGCAAGGATAACGAAAAAAAACTTTTTTGTCACATTTCCGTGATGGCTAAGTGTTGGAGCAATGAGTGTAAAAAAAAATTTCAAGCTGACACATTTAAAGCCACGTAAAAGATCAAACTTCTGAATGTGCCTTTTATGTTCTTGTTAAATCCACTTTAAATACATGGTTTAGTTTTTCAGCTTGTTTAAATATAAACGATGACCAGAAAAAAAAAAACATGGATTTATTTTGGGCGCTCTACATATGTGTAGATTAAGCTGTATATTCAACGTCCTGGGTATGACGATAAATTACATGCAATAGCAAGGCCTCTGATCAAGAGGTTTTGAGGAGCATGGAACCACCTTTTAATTGCTGGTGTTCCCAGGTCCACCATGACCCGCGGTGGTAGCACCTGTTAGGGTCCCAGCTATAAGCAAACAGTTAACACGCAAACTGCAATATATTATTACCAGCAAGACATTTTAGAAAAAAAAATTACCAACTATACATTCTTTAAAAAAATATGATCAGCGATACATTTTCAAAGAAAAAATATTACCAGAAATAGATTTTTGAAAAAAAAAAGTATTGCCAACAACAAAAATTTTGTCGGCATTAAATAACCCATTGAGGTTGAGATGCCGTAAAACAAAAACAGACCAAACCAAACCAAACCTGTATATTCAAGAACAAAAACAAATTATATAAAGACCAGTAAAGAGACGTCCTTTCTTTGACTATTGTAAGAATCATCTTCAAATATCGTGTACATCATGTCAAGGATCACTTAAATGTGTATTTTATTCATTTTGTAATTTGCTCTCAAACAGAATATCTAGTGTTTCCTACACACACACACACACACACACATACATACATGTATATATATATATATATATATATATATATATATATATATATATATATATACTAACAGTAATACGCGTTTGGTAAAAAAATCCAGATAGCTCAACTTGTAGATATGTCAAAACAAATCGGTACCTGAGGAAAAAAAATTGGTAAAAAAAAAAGAAAGAACTAAAAAACATCCTAACAGGGTGAAATAAATTGTCCAGTGCCTTAAGTCTTTAGTCCAAAGAAAAAAACCCAATGAGTATAAAGTTCCGTTTAGGTGAAACCTAGGTAGGTTTTCCTTGCTCTTTAGGATTTTATATATATATATATATATATATATATATATATATATATATATATATATATATATATATTCAGTTGTATGAGTTTGTGAACCTGGGTTTCACACTTTTTTGCGATCATCAGACAAACTGGTTTATTTTTTAAATTTGGATCTATTTATGGTTGTTTGACTATTTTTCATGGGAGGGGGGGGTTACTTCCGTGTTTGTTTGGGATGACATTCTCACAAATATAGATAGACATACATACAGGTGTACGCATTTAAATTCACACAAACACACCCACATAAACAATCCGCGGTTATTCGTGTGTATGTATGCTCGAACGCATGCATCTGCATCTGCATCTGACCTCGTTTGGAAAATAAAAACATTCCTATAACTTCAGATACATACATTAAAAAAAGACATACATTCAGTTAAAAATAAAAATAAATAAATAAAACTCGCTGATAATGGGTAAAAGAATAGCCGAAAGAGCTCGGGTATGCATTATATATATGTGCTTTTAAAACCCAGTAATAAGTTACTCCAAAATTCGCTTGAGGATGAAATGAAACTAATGTCTTTAATTCAATTACAAAATTAAATTCGAAGCTTTTAGCTTCCATTTTTGAAACATGGTTAGAACTGTGTAGCGAAAAAAAACATATTTTAAATCAATTAATTTATAATATTAATGCTCTGTAAATTTACATTGAGCACTATTTTGTAAAAATAAAAATATCTATAAGAACACCGGCTTATATATCTTACTGTTCTTTCTTTTTATTTATATATACATATGTGTGTGTGTGTGTGTGTGTGTGTGTGTGTATTTCAAGCAATTAATGTTTTTTCACTCCGACTTAAGTTTTTATTGGGTACACGTGTTTGTGTAAAAACTTTTGCTTTTTTTAAATAATGAAATTAATGAAAATGTTATTCTTTACAGGAAGCGAACCTATAATGATTTTCTTAAATCTGGGTAACCGCCCTTAAGCCAGCCGTGATTTACCTTTAGGCTACTGGAACCTATTACAGCAGATAAACACTCAATTACCCTATTTAAGAAGTGCACATCACTTGTTCGAACATTTCGAAGTCTATATATGCTAACTTTATTTTCGTACCCAAAACGTCAACCAAGTATTTTTTTTAATCTGTCTTATGTTTATATATTTATGTTTAATGGGTAAACGTGTTTGAGTAAAATAAACGTGTTTTGAATTAACAGTGAAATTAATATCTAGCGGCCTAGCAATTGAAAGTCTTTTTAAAGTACCTCTCGCGCTACAAAATTCGATTAACGAATAACAGGTGTACTTTTACCTCACATTGAAGAAGTGGTTAATATACTAGTCCCACACAACATAATTGAAAGTTGAAGCTTTACCAAATATTCCACATACTAAACTACTGTAACCGTTTTTTAGATTCTATAAAATCTGTCGCAAGGCCACATTCATGCGGTCTAATGAAAATTTTATACATATACTTGCTATATTAGATCATTGTTCGTTGCCAAGACTTAGGCGCTTTCGTATACTTAATTGACTAGTATGGGTTACAGCAATTTATCTTCTTAAAATTGGGCTTGTTCCTTACTTACCCACTTACTTAGTCAATCCTTTACACTCTTCAATACTGATCTGTATTCGGCATCTCACTGGCGGCGATTTTCAAAGATACACCCTCACCCATTCCATCTCACTCTTGCCGTCAACAAATGCCGGCGATTTTCAAAGAAACATAACATTTCATGAAATTTCAAAGAATTAAATTAACCTCCGAAATTTTTTAGGGTGGCCTCTAAATGACACTATTGTTAAAAGGTCACGTGTTTTAAGTGTTGTCTTCCTCTTACTAATAATAGTAAAATAATTTTTACTTTAACTTATCAGAGTTGTTCTGGAACCTCGAATTTCCTTACTAGGAAAACCCACTCGACCTTTTTGGACTGGAATTCGTTCGTTTCATTTCTGTGTTTCCTTGTGCCTCCACGGGCTTTGAAAATCATCCCTTCAAAATTTTAAAGTAAGTTTTACTTTATTGAATTCCTGTTTCACTATTTTTATTTTATGTATTTGTTTTATTTTAGTAGAAAAAAATAAGTTTTACTTTTCACATTCTTATTTTTTTAATTGGCATGTCATTTTGCAATTTCCTTTCAAATTAGTTTTATATTTAACTCCTATTTCATAATCTTTTTTATTTTTTTAATTTACTTTTTTTAATAATTTTTATTGTTAGGGTTGTTTTGAAACCTTGAATTTAATTTTAAGTGCAATATTTAATTTAATTATTTTTAGACTTTATTTTATTCGCATTTGAAATTAGTTTTCTAATTTTAGTTATTGTCAATGGTTTTCAAAACCGTGAGTTCACAATTTTAGTAATATTTTTTCAAGATTTTTAAAACCGAGAATTAACTTTTATTTACAAATCTGGCGATATGTAAAAAATGGCTGACTTTAAAAGCGACCAAAAAATCATATTCAAATCATTATAAGTTCTATGTGAAATACACCAGAGTATTATGTTTACTGGAAATAGGAAATTTAATCCTTTAGCTTTCAATTAAAGATAAAATGAAAACTTCAAGAAAGCTATTCTATTTAAATCATTTAAACCTTAAGTATCGCTTATAAACTGCATGTATTCATCATGAACCGGCAACAAAAAGTGGAAGCTGCTCGCGTGAGAATGAGACTCTACAGACAGAGGATAAGACAGCGATGACATAGTTAGGATCGTAACAGTTGAAATTCCTGATGCCAATGATGATCCAATCTTGCATGATACATAGTCCTTGCGGAACAAATAATCCTTCTTCGACTTGCATGGAAAATGGCTCATGCCTAAATAAATTCCTAAAGAACTACAGAAATGAATCGCTTCTGAATTTGAATGGCTATCCAGAGTACAGAAGATGCAATACTGGAGTTACAGTTCAGGTTCGACGTCACTCAGTTGACAATAGGAACATTGTGCCGTACAATGCCTACCTGATGATAAAGTACAGAGCCCACATTAATATATAAATTTGTTCATCAATGAAAAAGCATTAAATATATCCTCAAGTACGGGTACAAGGGAGATAACTGTGTTTCTGTTGAAGTAAGAGACAACCCAGCGACAGAATCAAGCTCACGATGAAGTTACTAATTATCTTGCTTGCCAATATGTTTCTCCTACGGAAGCTTTGCGCAAACTGTCCGAGTTCAAGGTGTAAACTGAATAAGCATTATGATGATGCACAGAACCACATATGCCCTGACATTCTGCTGCATTATGTGTTTAATAAGCGCCCCCGAAGAAGGACACCAAAACAAAGGAATACGAATATCATCAGTAGAATGTATACAGGGAGGCCTGGAGGTACAGAAAAATTTCATTTGCGAATGTTGCTGCTGCATATTTCAGGCGAGTGAGATTCCAGGATTTGCACACTGGAGAAAGAGAAATCTTGTTAATATTTAAAGCAGCATGCCTGAGATATGATCTTCTCTCAAACGATGACACACTGGAAGATGTATTGCTAGTAGCAGCTGCCTGTCGGATGTCCTTAGAGTTGCATGTTATGTTTGCTGTCATGTACACGTATATGAAACCGACAAATGCTCTTCACCTGTGGACCACTCACAAAGAATACATGTTTGAAGATTTCTTGCATCAAGGTTTTAATGCTGACCATGCAGAAAATACGGCACTGCACTCGATGCAATTCTGACAGAAAATGGCACTATTTAGCAATTGGGCTGCTTGAACTTAATGGAGTACTACAGCTTGACCAGCATTAAAACCTCGATCACCCAAGCATTGCAACACTTACTGGTGAACAGAGACTGACTGCTAATGCTTTGCCTGAATCTGTGGATAAGAAGAGGAGAGGTGAGGTGCCCCCAAACTCCTGTTTCTATGTAGATGCACCAGGAGGTTGTGGTAAAACTTATATGTTTAATACCATAATTTCATATCTGCTAAGGAACAACTGCATCGTGTGCAGTGGTACTTGGATAGGTATTGCCTCTACACTGCTGTCAAGTGGAAACTTTGTTCAAATTGTCTGTCACGCTCACGGAGGCCAGCCACTTTAGACCATGCAAATTATTTACGAAACCTGGATTTGATCATCTCTGATGAGGCTGCTATGATCCCTTCAGTTGCTCTTAATGCTATTGATAAAGCCTTGCGAGATATCACTGACATTGCTGCTGTTTTTGGTGGTAGAGTTGTGCTCTTTGGTGGTGGGAGACTTAAAGTCCTACCCATATTGCCAAGAGGATGTCGTGAGGCAATCATTGAAATCTATATTAAAAATTCTCTTCTATGACTGATTTTTATTCAATACAGATTAAGCCAAAACATCAGGACAACAGCAGATCAAAGGGATTTTGCAGCATGGCTCTTGCATCTTGCCAATGGAACATCAGCAGCTTCACAAGATCTTAATCTTGCTGTTAATGACATAGAAGTGCCTCAATTCTCATGCGTTGACGGCTTTCTGATGGATAATATTTTCAGCAATACATCTGAAGAGAGAAGAAGCAAAGTAATTCTTTCGCCAAAGAACTCAGACTGCCTCCTGATCAATGAAGAAGTTTTGAGACAACATCCGGGTGACAAATGCACCTATTATAGTACAGAGAAAGTTTTCATAGATGATTCTGATGAGGCTGAGTGTTACCCACTTGAATTTCTAAACTCTTTCTAAACTTTAAATTGATTTTAAACCCCAAATCAAAATAATGCTTCTTCGTAATATTTCTACAATGGTACAAGACTGAAAATTGTGACCATGCATCTAGATTCAATTGAAGTTTTCCTTGATTAGTGGTTCACTAATTATCAATCATCCTCAGAATAAAGCTGGCTCCAAGCGACTCTAACTTGCCATTCACCTTGGAGAGAACCCAGTTTCCTGTCCGTTTGTTATATACCATGGCTATTAACAAGTCACAGGAGCAGACATTTGAGAAAGTGGCATTGTTCTTACCTCGGCCAGTGGTCAGTCAAGGGCAATTATATGTGGCATACTCTAGAGATTACAAACTCCCAGATGTAAGGGTTAAGCTGGTGGAGACAGACAGACAAAGGAAAGAGAAGAGAGCGAACTGTTTCTAAGAATATTATCTGCCGAGAGGTACTGACTTAAAGGTGTAGGATGTTTTCTGAAATTCTGGGGAACCTTGATTGTATTAGGTATGCGTCCTTGAGTTATAATTATTACATTTTTGTCAAAGATTATGAAGAAAAATTAAAAATAATGATTATAATTGCCGCAGACGGCAATTAAAAAGAATGAGATTAATCAATGACAAAAGAAAAAAATAAAAAAGGAAAAATAATAAAGATAAGACATACACATAATATACCAATAGATGTATGAAAGCATATCATAAGCAAATCAGATTAAAACCCAAAAGACACTCTTTCTTTTTACAGAGTGAAGACTGAAACGATTTAATATATATGATCTTTTAAGACATTTTTTATGTTTATACGCTCTTTTTATAGATACAAATATTTAAGTAAACGCTCTGTTTATAATAAACTGTATTAATGAAGTTTACCGTCCTTGAATGTCCGAGAAAATATGCGTCCTCCGAAAGGAATGGAACCTGTATCCTATACGGAAACGTCATATAGCCCGACGTGCTTTTACCGATTGAGCCACGGAGGACATTTCATAATGTGTGACGTCATTTCTATGAAAATTTCTCGGATATTCAGGCCGGTAAATGTCGTTAATACTGTTTATTATAAACAGAGCATTTACTTAAATATTTGTATCTATAAAAAGAATGTATAAACATAAAAAAATGTCTTAAAATAATTGTCGGACTTTGTCCATTTTATATATGATCTGTAATACCTTTAATTGAAGGTTTGAATACGACCTCCTTACAAGTAAAAATATAACTCTGTAATAGGACATAGCACAGATATCGCAGACCCGAATGTATCTATGCACATTTTTTTCTTTCTCCCTCTTGCTTTTCGATTAAAAAGTTTTTTTGTTTTGTTTTTTTTATGTGGCTACAATGAGATTGGGAACTTTTTTATGCTCAGAGAGTAAACAAGCCTTTTCAACAACAGAGTCGGGATGTGGGTAACCATAGTCCTCCACTACCTCATATCTTTTGTAGCTGTTATCAATGTTTTACTCTCCATCCATTTACGCATTCTTATTAGATACGTAACTCAGTGCTTCCCTCTGAATATCTTCAATTAACCCTGCATATGTCAAATTCTCAATCCAGGAATATTTTCTAGATTTGTTGTCACAGAAGTTTCGGCTGTGCCTTTCTGATTCGAAATGCAAATGTGTTTTAAGATTCCGTTTTCCTTAAAGCTGTTTTGTTGGTCACATGTTCAATCCATAGTATTCTCAGCATCCTTCTGTAGAGCCACATCTCTCATCTCTCAAGTTTCCACTTCATCTGAGAGGAAATTATCCAGCATTCATCACTATGTAGGAGGACTGATATGACGTTAGAGTTCAGTACTCTCATCTTTGTTTCTATCGATATTTTCCAATACTTTGTTTAGCTTTCAAGAGACATCTTTTGCTAGTCCAATACGCCTTCGAATTTTAGTGTCTCATTTTTCGTCGTCTGTTAAAAACACTTCGCTGATAAATTTATGTACTTGTTTGATTCTTACATCTTTAATTCTTAGATTACTTTTCGGGTTGTCCTTGCAGTCGAGCAGACATTGTGTCTTCTTGCAATTTATCGTTAGACCCTTCTTCTAATAACTTGCCAAGGAGTTCATATAGTTTTATTTCTGTGTCTATCGTCAACACAGTGCCACCCAAAATATCTTACGGTGTTTAGATTTTGTCTAGTAATAATGATTCCTGATAAATATTTACATTACTAAATCAACTGGAAATTGCTTTGTTTTTTTTTGTTTTTTTCCAAAATGGAATATCATTTCCGAATGCAATTATGAGAAAAAATATACCTTTGAACTTACCTCAAAACTTTTGCTTAGTTTTCCGATGTTCTAACTACTAAACAATGTATTTCTTGACAACCGTGTATTTGCGGAATTCGTACATTTGTACAGCGCCATCTTTGAACGCATCGTGTTATAAACACAGACTCTTCTTGGTCACTATGCTTGCCTGCTAGTGAAAAATCAGTCATTTCTTCGGCAAAGAAATGTCTAGCTTATTCGACATTTCAAAGGAAAACCAAATTGGAAAGTTTATTGAAATTGGCATCAAGCAGGCCAATAGTGAATGCTAGTTGAAAAGAATCCAAGAAAGAATTCTCTAATATCGACTGCTGGTTTATCTTATCTAGGCACCACACACTTTCGTAGTCAAATTTACATTTTGCTGCAACAATAAGAGGGATTTGACCTTCTTACTGCCGGCAGCATCCCAGAAAAAAACGTCACATCTTGACCAATGACTCCATTGTTTTTAAAACAAAGGAAATTGGATTTAAGTTGAGCTTACAGCGATGTCACGTTGAAACACCGGTTCTCGTCCGATCACCGAAGTAAAGCATTGTCGAACTTGGTCAGTAGTTAGATGGGTGACCACTTGGGAATAGCTTGTGCTGTAAGTCGGATGTGCGGGTGGTGCAATGGATAACGTTACGGAATGAGAAATCAGAGAGCAAGTTCGAATTCCAGTCGGGTTCGTTTTATTTGCGGGAATTAGGCGATCATGAACTGAAATGAGATATAATCGTCCAACCGAAGGAGGAGGTAGAAGAAGAAAGATGGAAGGAAGAAGGAGAAGGACGATAGAACGAAGAATAAAGACTGAAAGAAGAAGAAGAAGAGAGAGAGAACGAAGAAAAGGTGGCGCTGTTTTTGGTCTGAATATTAAAACATAACAACTAGAGTCTTCTATATTGATACTTTCGGGCCAATGTCACTAATCACAGGAGTTGTATGAAAGATTCCTGAGTGAAAAAATATAAATAAATGTCATCTTCTTTGTTCATGAAGGATTCCAGACATGACAGTTGTGGAAATGAGGAGAGCGTTCTATCGTGGATCATATAAAATATTCTATTGGACATTCCCAGGAGATTACCAAATACGACAGATATATTGTGAAAACCGTAGGCTAAAGCAACCCCCACAAAAAAAACAAAGACGAGGAAATAAGTCAGAATGAAATTAACGTATAATAATAGCAACAAACTGCCGCAAAAAAAAACACAGGCAAAAGTTTACGTGACAAGCTTGTGTAAATGAATTTCCGAACAGAGAGTTGGAAGAATAATGAAAGAATAAACATTGCTTAGAGCTACAAGGAACAGAAAATGGAGAGGCATAATCACCCACTTCCTGAGGGGATACGGTACGTAAAAGACGATAACCACGAATCCGTTCTCGTAGCAATGGATATTTTTGTAGCATTTAAAATATAATTTCTTTATGTCTTTTGCTGTCACTTGCAGTTGGTTTATTGTTCGAAACCAGCATTTTTATTTTGATTTTTGATTACTGGTATGCAATTTAGATTTTAAGAGAGATGTTATTTATTAATGTCATACTCAGAAAAAAAGAAAAGCTATCTATTTTCATTTATACAGATCGCTTCTAAAGATGGTAGACACTTCGAAATGGAAAGAAAGATAATCTTGAAAAGTAAGCATTGTTATTACAGTAAGAGTTAAAACTATTTATTTCAATGTCTTGACTTATATTAAAATATTTTTTCATTAGTATGACGTCTCATTGTCTTGGCCAGTTGGTATTATTTTCACTGCATAAAAAGTTGCAAGAACGTCTATTCAGCACGTGTAGATACTAAATATAACGTTTATAGTAATAAGAAATAATGTCAAATCTTAAAACATTAATTGCTTTAAAATTATTTTTTTATGTTTTGGGTACGAAAATAAAGTTAGCAGGTATAGACTTCGGAGTACCCTAATGAGAGATGTGTGTTTCTTAAATAGCTAATTGGGCTTTGTTTTATCTAGATTACTTCCTGTGGCCTTTTTGTAAAGCATACATGGCTTTAAAGTGTTTTTTTTTTCTGAATAGAAAAATTCAATACAACTTTGATTCTTCTCGGGGATCTCATTTTCTTTACTAGTTCAGTTGATGTCGATTTCACTCTTTAAAAATAACAGAAAACGTTTAAAGTTGAAATCTAAGGAAGAATTGAAACCATCCAGACAGCATTATTGCTAACCTCAGTAAGAATACTAAGGAGGGTGCTGGAGACTTGGTGTCACTTGATTTCGAGAGAAGCTGATAGATAACTCTAGTCTTAAAACGTAACTAGTACAAAATAAGTGAGGAAATGCTTGGAACAATCCGAAAGAGTTGTAAAGTGCTCGGAAGAATACAAAAAAAAGTTAAAAACCATCCGTTAGGAAACTCTGCAAGATTGCAGAATCTTACAATATTGAGGAGACTGGATGTTATTTGATCTCTACTGAAAGTGAACGGATACTACTTACATGAGAATTCGACGAGTGTTGAATAATACAATATAGATAGTCGGCCTGAAATTGTACAGAAATCAATTCCTACCTACTGAATAGCTTATAAAAGCTGTGATAAATACATCTCATAATTACCAAGGTTCTTATTTTAAGTGCCGTGTCCATTAAGGATGTGAACGGTCATGGCACTCCACAACCGCTTATCCTTTGTATCTCTTCGCAATGTCTTCTTTTTTTTTCTTTTTTACTAACCTTCCCTCTTCCTGTTCTGCCATCTATTTCTCTAAGATCGTTAAAAAGGTGACTCGATGTTTCTCTCTGTCCCTCTTGCCATCACTATATTGCCCCACAAAGCCTTCTTTCCTCATTATGAGTCCTAAACATTTCAACTGTCTCTGATTCTAAATATAATTATCCTTTTAGTTTCAATTGTCATTAAAACCTTCTCGTTGCTCACATGACCCGTCCATGCT